AAAGGAGAATCTAGGTATTAGAAATGGATTTACAGGTGACCGTTTGTGGGTGTGAGTTCAGGCAAAACAGATGAGTATCCTGTCCCAGTGGCCAAGCACCATGGGCAGGGTGAGTGTCCTGTCGCTGGCCACCTTCACCATGGAACTCTGCTCTTTAATGTCTTCTGACAGAGCCTCGTGGGGCAGGTCACTTCCCAAGCAGTCATCGAAACTGCTTCAGAACCCTGTGACATAAATTTGCTCTCAGCTCACTAGTGCAAAACCCAGCTCAGAGAAATCAATTAATGTGCCCCAGGTCATGCAGTTAGTATGTAGCCATTCTAGCATTGAATCCACGTCTCAGACCAAGCCTGCACTTTTTTCTTCATTATACTGTACTGCTTTCCAGAAAGAAATAACAATTCAGTGTGTTGAGGCAAGGATTACATTTTAGCTTCAATTTTTCTGTGGGTCTCCACACTGTGAAGTTGATCAGACAGTTAAGATATACCATTAATCAGTTTTGAGAACCAAAACGTAACAATGTTTGCCGAAAAGATGTCATGAGTCTACGCTGATAATCTGAGCGCTCTTGTTGGTGTGCGCATTCCACTGGGTGATAAATGTTATTTACTGACTGATAAACCTAATGCTGCATCTTCAGGGTCACTGCTGCCTAAGTAAGTACACACAGATTTCACAAGGAAAGTGAACTAAGGCCAGTTTTCAGGGATTAGTAAAAGTTCTCCCATGAGCGTAGCTTGAAGAAGAGCAAGCCATAAGTGAACATTCAGTCTGAACTCTGGTACCACAGTGGCAAACCAGAGCTAAGGGGACAGAACAGATGGCAGAGACAGAAAAGATTCTCCAGAGTGGGATCAGAAATAAATTCATGAAGGTGAATTAACCCTAGGAATATATCTTAATGGGGGGAGGTGGGTGTAAAGAAAGTGCATGCACTCCATTTCCAGTCTGTATGAGTACTGTCAAACGGAGGCTGTGTGACTGTGGTTTCAGGAGCCTGACCTGGCCTCATGGTCCACCAGCTTCTGTTCTTCACACGGGACCATCAGGGAGGAGAACAATAATTTAAAAAAAGAGTATCCTTCTATTGGCATTCTTTATCTCCTCTCTGCTCTGGAGGTGACTGAGCAGTCTCTACAAGGATATTGGAAGTGCAGTGCTAGAACAGGAGTGAACTAGAACAAAAGTGAGCGTGAACAGCTGTGCCTTGGAGTTCACTTTTTATTTAACAAATCTGTGTAGCTTTACATAAAGCTGCAGCTTCTCCAGGCAGTGTTTGCCCAGTTAGCACATATCCTTCGCTAAGGTGCCTCAGGAATCAATGGCCTTTGGAGTTGAGGCTTTAAGGGCACCCAGCACCTTCTTCCTGTCCTCATACTACATCTTCACTGTGAAGTCTTTCACGGTTTATGGCAATCAGCTGGGATTTTTCACTTTACTTAATTTAGCCAATTCGCATTGCTCAGTTTTTCCACAGTAACTAGAATATTTGGCAAAAAGATACAACTTTGTAAAGGGAAATATCCCAAGTAATAAAACCTAGTTACTTACCCTGTTCTGCTAATAATCAATAGATAAAATGAGCCCTGAGAAGTCTCTGAGGCTCTCCTGCACTTATGCTAATGTAGAAATCGGGTATTGGTGTAGATTCAGGGTTTTAATGATATTCTTCTATATAGTCATCAGAGACAGAAAGAGAGAGATTCATAGGGAAATGAGTCAGAACATTACAAATGAGAGGTATGGCATAGTAATATACTAAGTAGACAAGTAAAGAGTCAGAAAATATACAATGTGTACCCCGTGGACTGTGCCAGAAGCCACGCGTTGAACTTGGAAAACGTGGAAAAGAGGCTCTATGGGTGTGGCACCAAAATATGTCAAGAAATGTCAGAACAGGTGAGCCCTGTAGAGAGGGACAGGTGGATGGAACATGGGATGAGGAATAGTGTCTGTGTCCAGCAGACAGACTCAAACACATCCATTAATACTTCCAACCCAAAAAAAGAGACCCCCATTGGCTTGGTGATTTTTTAAAGCTGAAATACGGAACTTACCACTAACTAAGGGTCAAGTACTAAAATATGAAAACGGGGAAATGTAGAATGAGTCACTACTTTTGTGTTCCCCAACTGATCGTTGAAACTATTCAGGGTGATAATAGCGTTCTCTGTACTATTCTATGTTAAATAGTCTAAATGTAGCTCTTGGAGATTTGGACTCAGACTCAATTTGCTGTGTGTAAAATTCTGTGTTTGGCCATCTCGTGGAAATAGGGCCCAGATAGGCCACACATATCTCACTGTCTGGCCTAGGAGATGACCTGCATCGTTGATTCAGGGTTAAACAACAATAAGATAGCAACAGAGGAGGTGAGTTAATGCAAACCAGCACATAACACATTGCCAGATACATGATATGGTTAGGCCTTGAAAGGAAGGTGAGATCTTTATGGCTGCAGTGGCCTGGAGATGGTAACGCCCCCTCCCCCCTCCACAGATGTTGCTTTTCTATTTAGCAGCCCAGGTTGTCCACAGTGAATAAGAAACAGTCATGATCGTGCGCCTTTCATTGATGGGCACTGCCACAGAATAGTTAATTTAGTAAAAGTGGGTCTGAAGTGAACCAGGAACAAGCTGTGTGTGTTTAACATGAGGTGTAAGGTTGCATCAACAACACAGCTAAAGCAGCAAAGTCCGACGTGAGTGAGGCGAGAGGAAACCGGATCACTGCCTGGCTCATGTCGGCTCTGAGCGCTTTGAGTTGAGTGCTTTCCCTCATCAACTCCAAGCCCTGCCACAGCGGGGACAGGGCTCACCCACTTAGTCCAGTTGAGGTTTAAAGGAAAGGGGTCCAGCCTCTGCACGGAGGGTTGGGCATTTCCTGAATCTAGCTTTTAAAGTATACATTTTCCCATTTGACAGAATCGGATTTTACATAGGCCCTAGCAAATGTCCAATTGTGGCTAACAAATTAACCTATCTGCCTGCGTTAACACTTTGGTTTCCAAATTAGCCTTTAATCAATCAGCAGCTGTCCAGAGAATTGCTGAGGGTGCCCATGAGAATCAACCATCGCAGTTTGTCTGGGACTGAGGGGTTTTCCAGGCCATCAGACTCTCAGTCATGAAAACACCAGGATGGTTGATTGCCCTGCAGAGGAGTAACTTGGAGGTACCATTTCTATAAAGGAACTTCTGCATTTGGGGATTAATTTTTGTGCCACCCATTACAGAAAAATGTGAGAAAGAACTAAAATAACCTCAGTGTTTTCCAAGGGAGGAATTCTTCTTTGGGGGAAATGGTGGGAGATTGGTTTTAGTACTATAAGCTTCTCCCCTGGGAATCCCAAGGGACAAGGGAGGCAGGTAAGTGGAAATCTTCTAGAAGGCTCCACAGGGCAGATGATTGGGCAGCTGGGGAGGTTTGTCCTGTGGGACTTGGTTTAAAAACCAGAAGATGACAGCAAGTTTCAAGAAGAACACATGAACTTGTAAGTGACCCGGCAAGAGCCTTTCAGCATTCTTTGCAAGGGGTCTTCCTTCACTCCGAAGGAGTGAACTGGCCTTGTCACAAAGGCTGAAACAACTTTTAAAAGCCAGCCCACCCACAGGGCCAGCTTTTCTATCAGGGTCATGGGAAGTCCGTTCCTTGGCCTCATTTGTTCAGCCCCAGCCCCTATGACTTGAGTAGCTGGCTCTTTAAGCTCCTTTGCAGAATTTTATGTTGTTGCAACTGATAATTGCAAAATCTCTCAGGCCGTACATGGAATACACAATAGATGCATCCCTCACCCTCAGTAACGCCCTAAGATGTGGCATGTAGGCCATGATTCTGTTCAACAGAAGTGGGCCACACACTGTTTCCCTACCTGTCCAAACCTTCAGTTAAGAAAAAAAAAAATGACTGGCTTATGAATTCCGGGTCGAGGCAAAGTGACAGCAGGAAGAAGTTAATGTATCAGGGATCTTGTTTTGGCCACATGGCATGTTGTGGGAGGAGGAGCAAAGAGGGGGAGAATGCTAGAACTGTGCACCGTCCTCGGAAGGCCAGAGGAAACCCTTCCGCACGCGAGCTCTTCCATTCCCCACATGCTTTCACACATTCCGAGGATCTTCAGTGATCCGCCATGAAGCAGAAGAGCAAAGGAGGGACTCTGGGGTCAGGGGCCCTGTTTCTGCTGGGAGTGAAATGCCAGGACACTGTTTCTGTCTCTAGCCTGATGTGGTGTTATCCACGAGGAAAGCATCTCATGCCTAGGTCTGTGGAATTGATTCTTATTGTCCTACTAGAACATCACCTGCTGAGCTCCAAGGCCATCTGCCGAGGGTGGGGGGGCGAGTGAGTCAGGCAGCTGGTCACATCCTGACAACCCCAAAGTGACCCACTGCTCTTCTTACACCAACACAAACTTTTACATAGGCTTCTGCCACTTGAACAGGTTACAAGGGCGCAGGTGTGTCAGTGCGGGGACTGCCACAGCCCAGGACAGAGGATAAGCACCTTGGGAGAGGCGTTGGTGTAGAGCCCGGGGTCCAGGCTTGTGGACCCTGTGAGAGTCACTCTCTGGTCTTCAGTGTCTTAACCGCAAACATTAGGAAACTGGAGGGCATGGCCCTGAGCTTCCTTCAGCCTCTCACTGGGCTTCTCCGACTCTTCTCCTTGCTTCCTTTCTGGAACAACCCTAGTGAACGCATCCCCCTCCCTCTGACCACCTGGAGGGGAGACACAGCTGGGTGGGGAGGCAGGACTGCAAAGGGCAGAGAGGGGCCACGTGCGCAGATGGGGACGATGCGGAGAGTGGGCAGGTGCCTTGGGAAAATGGCATTTGCGGGGCTTGTTCTGGGCAAGCTCACTTCTGCTTGGCGACATAAATGGCTGAATGGAAAGTAGTAATGGTAGAGAATGGATTTAAGCTCTGATTTCTTAGTTTAAAATATTAAAAATATTAACAAAATGTTAATGTTAATGAATACAATGTGGGCTTTAGTCTTCTGATGTTATCAAGAGAAGGGTAACCTTCTGTCCCATGAGGTCATTCTAGGGAAAACTAGACTCACACTCTTTCATACTAATGATTAACACCCTGAATGATTCTTTAATGCAATCTTTTTTTTCTCGAGATTTTTGCTGTGAGCCTAAGGTGAAAGCTTCATTGTTAAGCTGTCCCAGAGGTCAGAGCACTTGGTTTTTCAAATCAGCTTATTTGTTCTGCTCCTTTTTTCCTGGAGTGTCTCCAGCCCTACTTTGTCTCCACTCATGGGAATCTTGTCAATTGAATTCAACTGTTCCCCGCTCTGGAAGCCTACTCCAAACACCTGGGCAGAGTCCATTGTCCTTCCTGTGGGCTTCTAGAATGATTTCATCATATAGCATTGATCGCACTGTTTATGGTCAGCTACTGACCCATCTTCCTGCTGCACTGCAATTTACTCCAGCGTAGGGACCATGGGGTCTTTGTAACCTGGCAAAGAGAAGGCACCCAATTCCATTAATAATCACATTAAACTGACATATATTACCAACGAGGTGTTTGATTAGTGCTAGAAGGCTCTGCTGGGGTCCTCTTGCCACTTTGAGTAACTGATTATGTGTATGATAAGACCATGTGCCTCTTAAATCAAATTCCAGATTTTTAGCTGCCAGTTTTACTTTGTTTGGGAAACTGATGGTGCAGAGGAGGTGGGGGGCTGTTGAGGGAGTGAGAGGGTGACAAGGGGGAGTACCTGTAACAATGCACAGGAAATAGTTCCAGCATCTCCAGGATTAGCGATGCTCTGGGTGGTCTGCCCAGATCCCCTTGGGTCCCCTTCACCTCTCTGGGTGCCCATTCCTATGCTTCCATGTGTATTACTTGTGATTCACTGCAGACCCACTACCATCTCTATAAGACTGCCCCTGGGCTATGGGAGCACTTCCTACAGAAACGGAAAGCCAGGGCACTTAAGGAGCTGCACACCCGTCACCCCTTCCACTCTTAGTTTAGCACTGGCCGACCTGGGCAGGAGCAGGAAGGCCAGCTCCCTTGCTGAAAATGCTGTTTTCACTCCAGAACTCCCTCCAGAATCAGGCAGGCAACCAGTTAGGCAATCAGTTTTGGCCTAAAATTGCCCCTTTCCTTGAGCTCCCTTGTCCCCTGACTTACCTCCCCATCTCTCCTTTGGCATCCTCCCAGGAGCTCTTCCTTAATGAATTGCACACGCATTCTTGTCTCAACACTTGTGTCAAAAGAACCTGCTCCACGGCGAGCTTTCAACTCCGTGGCTTCCTGACAGGCTCCTGGTTCCAAGGACTGAGACCAGCTGGTCCCCACCTCTGGTCTGCACAGTCCTGAAAGCGTTTAAATAGACATCCTTCATTCTCCCTGGCTCAGCTACATACCAGGGGGACAGTTTACAGGCCTCTGGGACAGGGACTGTGGGAGCAAACAGGGGACAACCAACTCAATCCTGCCTCACATGTGGGGGATGCTTCAAGCTGGCGGAGCACAGGGGGCTTCAAGGGAGTTTTAAAACTGACCTGGCCCTCCATAAATAGTTTCATATCTAACCCAACCGAGCTAGATCTATTCAAAGGTAAAAATGCAATTTTTTCCCCTTTCATCACACTTCAAGGATTTTACGTTTCGATTGAGGCCAACGTGAGAATTGGAAGCTCTATAACATTTTTTCTTCTTCTTTGGAAATTATGTGTAGAAAATGGCTCTCTTGAAAAAGCTTGTTCTTATGATCTTTTCTGCCTCTGCCTAGTTTTCAGAAGTCTTTTTAGAACTTTGGATGCAAATGCACACTTTAGATGCGTATTTTATTCAAATTTGACACATGTAAGAGCCTTGCTGCCAGTTAATTGGGGAGAAAGAAAGAAAAAGAAAGAGAGAGAGAGAGAGAGAGAGAGAGAGAGAGAGAGAGGGAGGGAGGGAGGGAGAAAGGAAAAGAAGGAGATTAATTGAATAATCAATCATTATTGTTTGTTTTTTGTTTTAGGCCAAAAGATCAGTAACACTGACCATCTTCAATCACAAAATGATTAGCTCTGTTTCTTGAAGTGATCTTATGTGGCAGATTCTAGACCCTACTCCTTAGCACCAGGTGTGGAGCAAATTTCAATTACTGGAGGGGAGAGGATTGGGTGAACAAAATATTTTCTGTCAAGATTAATACTTTGTCCTATTTCCCTTTTTAGACTCAGAAATGCTTAGACAGGTCATTTAATTATTAATGCGTGTCAAGTAAAGTCCATCCGCTGCAACAGAAATCTCACAGATGCTTACTCTAGAATTTTCCCTCTCACCTCTCAATACTTCATCTCTCATTCGTAAAGCCTCACCTTTTGTGAATTCTATCAGATCTGCAACCTCAAGATCTAACTGTTGATATAGCTCCAAATGAAAAAGAATGAAAACAGGTGGACATCACCACAACGAAGAACATGTCTTCACATTTAAATTATTTCATTTGTTCATACTATTCTTGTTTTCTTCTTTCATTGTTGTAAGACTGTGTCATGAATGAATAAGAGCTCTAATATGCAAGGTCTGGAGACAATTAAAACTCTCCAGAGATTAGACTACAATTATAATTCATGCAGTGTTATTATTTGATACTCCAAGGAATTTACATGTGCATATGTATGCCCACAATTGACTAATCTGAGAAAAATGTAGTCCTATTGAAAAATGCATGGACCAAAAGAGAGAAGAGCTGTTTGAGCCCCCAGGTTACCTTTCTACCTTGGTAACTTTGAGCAAATCACTTACCCTCTCTGGTATCTGCTTCCTCACCTTTAACATGCAACTAATCATGACTTTTTGGTCTGAGCATCAAATTAATAACGTTTGAGAGAGAGCTTTATAAATTGACCATGTTCAAATGTTAGTTTACCAATCAAAGCCAAGACTGGAAATACTCATTAAAAATAAGAAAATAAGAACTAAAGTTCCATGGTACAAACCATGATGTCCATTTATAATCTATTATCCACCTACTTGACAATTATTTGAGTGACTGTGATGTGCCAGGTGTCCCTAGAAGGACTCGTAGTGAACAAGACAGGTGCTGTCGAGCTCTGAAATGGAACACAGACAGCAAATGCTAGGGTGAGGACAATTTAGGCAGGGCTGAGTGGCATTCAGAGTGAAGGGAGAAGCGAGGCACAGAGCTGGACTGGAGCCGTATGAAACTAGGAGCCCGGCCTCTCTGTGGCAGTATCCTTTGGGCTAAGGCATGAACAGCGATAAAGGCTGGGATGTGTAGATCTGAGGGAGAACATTCCAGGCACAGAGAACAGTCCCGGCAAGCCATCTGAGGGAGGATACAGTCAGATCTTGTATGCTGGGTTTTCCCTTTTCCATTTTCTCCACCTCTGTGTTTACCTGTTTCATATGGGACTTTTCTAATATCCTCCTCTGAGGTCTCTCTGATTTTACTTTCTGGAGGAAGAACAGCAGCTTTAAGGAATCTGGACCTTGCATGGCTTCTTCATTCTCTGGAGTCCTGGGTCCCCAGGAGCCCAGCATCTTCTCTGAGGGGTGACCACATTCACCAAGGCTGAAGAGGGAGCCCTTGCTTCCTGGGACAGAGAAGGACCCAAGGGAAGGTAATGAGGCACTGCTCCCCTGGGGGAAATGAGAAGTGGTGATTTACGCCAGGCTTTGAGTCAAGAAGGAGGCAGTGAGAACATGGGGTATAGACATCTTGTTAGAAGAGACAATCTGGTTATTTATTTATAGTCTATTTAGGCAAAGGGACCTTTAAAAAGGCTTTGATAAGAGTGGCCAAAGTTTCTTCAAAGATTAACTGGCATTCTTTAAAAGGGCATTAATTTTTGTTACACAGGTGTTCAGAGAGCTAGGACTGGGTGTCCCTTAGAATCGTTTGCTGATCTGTAGATTTCCTTAAGACACACTGCTGACATCATGAACTCCTTTCTCAGATTCCTTCTCCCTCTCTCTCTCTTTCTCCTTCCCTCCCTCCCTCCCTCCTTCCCCGTCCCTCCCTCTGCCCAATCTCTCCCAATCTCTTTCTTTCTCTCTTCAGTTCCTTCAGGTAAATCCTACTCAAACTTGTACCAACTTGTTTTTGACTGACAGTGAACAGCTAGAGAGTTTTCTCCATTCTAAGAGAACCTAAACACCCATCTTTCTCAAGGCAACCTGCATGGACGGATCCTTTCTTTGCCTGGTCACAGCTTCCCATCTAGCCAGGAGCCTGCATTCATCAAGTCTCTGTAGGTGAGAGGTATGCCCTGTAGGTCAGTATTGGAGCATGCAGCGTGCTGGAGATGTTTCTGAAAAATTTTTCTTCTAAAGGTAATGAAAAAGTTGTGATTCTTTTAAAACTTACTTAAATCATTCAAGACATCCAAGCTTATCTGGGGGAACTTAAAAGTGCTGTTTGCATGTGGAAAACGGTTTTTTACTTAATGATGGGGCTAAAAAAAAGTGCTTTATTCTTGCCTGTGAAACAATATCCAGATGTTGTCTTTTTTGCTGTGGGTGTAAGTGATCTAGATCAAGGGCGAAGAGTTACTCCGACGTCTCTTTGCAAGTGTTTTTCTCGTGGTGCCTGTCAGAGCAAGTTTGTTATTGATTTTCAGTGATTATATAGTTCTTTGGGCAGTTAGTTCCCTTTGTTGGTGCAGAAATCAGTTGAGGTTGCCGTAAGGGGAAACCTCATCGGAATATTTTAAAACGTGTTACCTATCCGTCTGAGGAAAAAAGTTATGTAAGTTTTCTGTGGTAGGTGTAAGGAAGGTAAACAATTCTGACTTTGGAAACATTATGAACTGTGTTCACAACCCGTGGATAATTATAATCTGTGTATAATTTTACTGAGTTTAGACTATTCTTGGCTAATAAATGTTACACCGAGTGAAATTTCCACATTGCTCCTGGGAAGCTAGTTTTTTATCTCCTTTCTGCACTTCCGTGTTTAGTTGCCTGAAGGAAATAAGAATTTGTTGTTCAATAGAGGTTTCTTGACCTCATGATTCCTTTAAACCACAAGGTAGGAAACTTACAATACATGTAATATTCAACTGGGGAAAATGAAAGAGCAAACTTTGTCCTACTCTGTTCAAATGTTTAGATTCATTTCTTCTTATCAAAATATACCTTATTTAAAAAGAAAAAAAAACTTTTTTTTGCCTAAAGGAAGGATTTCAGAAAAATTTGGAAGTGATTTTTAAAGTTCTTTTTCTGAATCCTCAGATCACACTCACACACACACAATCAGCTGTTATCCCAATCCTAGACAGTGCCTCGTCTTCTCTCCTAACTGTCTAAACAAATGTAATGATCAACAATAGCCTGAGGTGATAATTCTCTCAAATTGTCCTAAGAATCAAAAGCAAAAAGTTGAAGACAAGTCTTAGGCATTTTTACACGCCATCATTTTATGAAAACTGTCTGGAGACTCTGTGTGGAATAATTGAGGACTTACCTCACACACAGCTCCCCTCGACGCTGTGCTTTCCTTGGGTTTTGTTTTTTTTTTTTAGCAGTTTTCCTCCTTCTCTGGCTAAAAGTGTGATAACTGGCCAGGCAGGGAGCAGCCCAGAGGCCACCTGGAAAGTCTTCACACAAGGCTGGAAAGCAGAAGAGTTTAACCAAATTGCCAGCAGCGTATCTCAGGAATACCAATCACATAACGGAGCTGACATTTCTTCACGGAGTTAGGGAGTGTGAGGGTTTCATAGAAATAGACTCTGCTGAATTCTGAGATTCTGGTTACTTAAGGAACACACATTTCTAAAAAGTCTCCCCTCCCTCTCATCACCCCTCCCTCCCACCCACAGCTGTGGTCATTTTACAGAAAAGTGCTATTTCCCCAATTTCCTCTCCTCACACGTATAACCAGTGCAGACAGCCCAGATTCAGGGGAAAAGAGAGTGGGACCCAGGCCTCCCACACTAGCAGCCCTGGGCAGCCAACAAAAGCAGATCAGCAGCTCTGTGCACGGGGCTGGGCTCGCTCGGGCTCTGCCCTTCCGTGGAGGAGATCGTGAAAGGGCTGCACTTTCTTGTTTTGGGGTGTGTGTACATGTGTGTGTGTAATTATATCCCCGAATGACAATAGCATGTTTGGTACAAGAAAAATCATCACTCTATGGCTTTAGGTGCCAAACAGAGGCAACCATTTTCAGACTTCATCAGTCAATGTCAAGTACTTGAAATGTCCTTTCCTGCCATACCCCCCCCACCATCTGTTAGAAACACGAAGCAGCCCTCTGACCTCCTCTGCACGTTTTTTCAGAGCCCAGAGTTGTTTGTACAAGGTACTTGCCTGGTGGGTGCATCAGAATCTCAGAAGCAAAATAAGAGTCCCAGAAGGAGCCACATCCTGGGGCAGCTGCAGATGAGGAGTCCCGGGAGGACTGGCTCAGGCACAAACGCCCCCTCTCATTTCCTTCCACCTTTCATATATAAGCAACCCAGCTATTGGCTTCTCCCTTGCAATAATCTGGCACTTTGCACAGGAGTAAACCACACATCTCCAAAGGTGTGTTTTAATTCCTCTTTCAAGTAAAAATAACTCTACTCCAAAAATAGGAAGATATGGCAAGAGTTAATGTTAGTTTTTATGCTTGCAGAGAAGAATCTTATTAATGTGTAAATACAAAAGGCAGATCAGACAGGTGATTATCCATCCCTCTTTTTCCTGACCTTCATCTTCATCTCATAGAGCCACACTGGGCATGGGGCTTTGGGTATAGGAGAGCAGAGGAGCTTGCTCTGTGCCCTTCAAGGACGCAGTGCCCGGAAGGGGACAGATCTGACCCAACACACCTGGCTCCTTGCTGCCTTTCAGGGAGTTTTCTGGTGCGAGTTTTACAGACAGGTAAAGTTGCTGTGCGGCCTGAAGTGAGCAGCTGCCGAAACGCTAAACCCTCCTTCAACTAAAGGAAGAAAGGGGAACCTACTTCTCCACCTTAAAAGGGAGAGTTCAGAGCACAAAGGGAGAGAAACTAATTTATAATCTTAAAAAAAAAGGTTCTGGGGAAAGAAGTTTTATTTGGTAAGAGTTCCTTTGTTGAGCTAAAGGGGAAAAAATGGACCTATAGACATTTCCCAGTAAAAGACAAAGTAAGAAAAGTGGAACCTGAAAACTGTTGCTAAATGCTCCATGCTCTCAGGTTATGCAAATGGTGGTGTGGACATCTCCACTCTGTGTGACCAGCTGGAGTCCACCCAGAAGTTCTTACCATATTCCAGGGCTTTTTAGCCAAAACTGTTTCTGCTCTTTTCACAAAGAAAGACGAGAGCTTGTGATGAACTGGGTACCTCTATTCCCTTCATGAAGCATCCTGTCTGAGCTGGGGAACAATAAGCCCGTAGTCACCGCAGTACAGCTGGCCTCTGCAAGTCCACATCTAGCCCAATTCCAGAACAGTCTGCGCTTCCAGACCTGAAAGTCAGTAGCACAAAATTCCACATATGTTAGTTGTGATACGAGGATGACTCAGGGATGATCATGCCCACAGCGTCTGAGGACACACAGAAGGACAAGGTCTGATCTGTGACAAAGACACGCTGTCTGGAGAACACAGCCTAGAGGAAGAACTCGTCTGTGCTACCTTGGGCCTGAGTACCTTCAGGAATCGGGAAGAAGTGCAGTCGTCGTGTTCTTCCCCATGACCCTGCAGCTCTGAGTCAGAGCCACCTAGGCGTGCACTGACCCTCACTCACTAAACAAAGCTGGCAGCTCCTTCCGTGGGGGGCTGGCCGACAGCCTCCACGCTGCATTGGTGACTGGTGCCCCCATTCAGGGTCTGAGTTCAGAGGGAGGATATTCTGAGCCAGACCATGTGCCTGAGATTGCACATCACTCTAATCCTCAGTCACCATGCGGCCACTGGAATACTAAGGAGGTGACTCAGAGGTGACACTGCACAGGGGATCTTATTCTCAGGGTTTGCTGAGGACCCAGGTGATGGGGTTTGGGTTTCAGCCCACATCCTGTTGCTGATGACTGAAATCTGTGTGGGTTTTGTCCAGCCCTGGTACCAGAGGCTGATCAAGGTTTTATGGAGTTTGAAGAATACACAATTTTGGAGGCCCTCTTTAAGGCAAATGGATGCAAAATTATGACTATAAAATATTAGGTATCAAGCTTTGGGGAGGCCGGGTGCCAGCCCAAAGTTTGCGTTTGACACATCTTTGTGTTTGACCACAAGTTTGTGGTTGACATCATGATAAATCCACTCTGTGTCATACATAATAAAGGCCCAATACTTGCTTCTTGAAGGAACAGTTGACTTAATCTTTGTAAATTTTAGCTCTGCCTGTCCTCTAAGTAACTGAAAAATGATAAGCAAAAATACCAAATAATCATGCTTACACATATCTAATCATGAGGTAACATATGGAAAATTGATCTGGGTGATATCTAGAATGTTTTTCATTTCACTGGCATTTTGCCAAGAAACGTAGATCCTTAATACCGCAGCCGAGTCTTTAGGTCATAACTAGGCCCACAGGCAAGATGCTATCAAGGTTCTGTTTTTACAACAGCTCGGTATGTGGGGACTGAAATTAAT